CTCCAACCCTATTTTGCCTAGTCTATCTATCAGTTGACAATACGAATGGAGTGGCAAATTCTTTTGTTGTATTCTGGTTTTAGTTTCTGAAAACTGAAATAGTGATGCCACAACGTTCTTCAAGATTTTTGTTTCCCTTATGTCTTCTTCTAGCAAATATGTACCACTTTTTTGAGAAATGTCAGACACAAATCTAGTTTCGCTAACAAAGCTGGCTTACATAGCCTTGGATAAGCTCTCCATATTTTCTTTCATGGTAGGATCTATCATCTCATCAAATGAGCCAGAATCATAAGAATTGTGCTAACAGTTACATGGTTTATTGGATTCTCTTTGGTTTTTGAAAGTTTAGCCCCCCCCNGTCTTAGTCTTAACTTCATTTTCTCTCTGTCACCTCATAATCAAATTATGGGCACGAGGAGAAATGTATCTCCATATTTGCATGTTCAAAATGGTTTCTGTAGAAGAAATTAGATGTGGAGTTATGTATTGGATTTGTCTTTATCCTTGAAGGATAAATATATAAACCGATCGAGAAAGATATCATAGAATACTCTATTGTTGGACTCTTTCATTTGTTTCCATTTCTTGGCCTTGGACATGAGGTTTTCTCCTCTGTTCGTCTATGAAAAGTTCTCATGTTACTTCAATAGTTAACATCTTGGAAATAGGTAGTGTCCTGCTTTTCCTAATGGTAAATGGCTTAAAGTTTGATCATTTACTTGGAAAGAAATTATTCTTGCAATCTTTTCAGTTTTTCCTTTTTGAATGGAAAGTTTTGGTTCAAAACTATCAAAATGAGGTCAATTCTAGAAATCCCAGTTCGTCGCTACGAGTGTTAGGACAAAGAGTGAACGCTACTGGAGGCGAAAGACATGTCCTAGTGACGTTTTCCTAGAACGAGATGTGCATTCCTTAGTCTTGCAAGAAGTTTTGGATCTTATATTAAGTGAAGAAGTTACGATATACTGTTCTCGTTCGAGCAATCTTTAGGTGGTCAAACACACTGAAAGGACATGCTTCAGTGTGTAGATGTTCCGCTAAACTTGGTTCCAATGACCATATATTTGTACTGCGAAGGCATGTGTATTTATTGGCATATACTTCTACTTATAAATATGTCCTCACATTGATTTGTAATTAAAAATGTTTTTGCTGGATCTTAAACACGAGAAGTGGACTACTACTTTGGGTATCCTGCTATTAACTTTAGAATTTGATAAATAAAATTTTGGATGTGACAGAAATTAATTATGATAAAACATATTTCTGCACAAAGCCCTAACCTCTAAATATAAACTACTAAACTTAAGAATCTGGAAAACAAAATGTGGAATTTGCAGAAGGTAGATAAGGAGCACTAGTTAATTGTTAAAAAGTAAACTTACTTATTATTAGAGGAAACTATCAAGAGAACTATTGTTATCACAGGAGAAGAAAACATAACAGAGAAAAATAACTGCTAGAGAATTCTTCTAGAAGTTTTTCTTTTCGGCAGCTGATGAGGGTATTTTCGGTTGCTGATTCTTAGGTCAAAGTGGGAAAGGTTACAGATGGAATATGGCTTTCATAGAGATGAAGCGTGGAGCCTTTTAGAAGAATTCCTATTTCATAGGGAGTAAGTTCAAATTAACTGCTAAATCAAACTCTTAGCAGAGTAAATATTTGGTCTGAAAGCTCAAGAGCTAGGAGAAAGAAAAGAAACTGCACGATGTCTTCAAAGATTACTTGAGTTTGTGCTATTATCAACAGATTCAGTTCAAAACTGATTGTTTATTATCGGTTAATACTTTTTTTTTTTGAGACGGGTAAAAATATTATTGGTTACAGATGAAATTTGAAATAAAATCGCAGTGAGCTCCGGGTATTTGAGATTGTTGTACCAAAGGAGGACCAAGAGCGCACAAATATTTTCTCTGCCTAGTGATTTGATAAAAAAGATCTGCCTATCATTCACCATAAGTCCATAAGTAAGAGTTGAAGTACTGATGGCTACCTTTGTCTTTGCCATATGATATGCACTGTTGATGTCATGCATCTTACCAAAATAACTGGTCTTTTTTTAATTGTTTTATTCTTTCACCATGGGGGGTGGAGAAAAAACATTGCAAACTACTGTCCACTTTATGTGATTATGGAGTTAATATATGTTACTGCCATCCTTCTTCCTCTTGTTCTTGTTTGAATGCTCCTAGTTTCCACGTGTAGTCAAGTGAATTTATTTTTGATATACAGGAGCCACCTGTTTCCCCAGTTGAGTCATCTGAGAAAGAAGGCACCACGGAGAGCTTGAATGTGTCAAAAATCCAGGAAGTTGTTCCTCCTATTGTCAACTCTCCCAGGAGTCCCGAGTCTGCTCCTGAGCCACCTAATGCTAAGGTGAAAACTAAAGAATCTGAAAGTTCGAAAAATGGACCAGTGCCTAAAGTGTCAAGTTTGAAAGACCACGAGATGGGATTACCAACTGTTGAACCAAGACCAACTGAAGATGTTGATTTGATTCATAAGCATCTTCCTGAAGAGGATGCTGAAAGACCCCTTGCAAGAGACTCCAAAGGCAAGGGAGCTTCTTCACATTCACAGAGCGTGGGGACAGACTCAGCTACGATACAAGTCGTGAAAAACCATACAGATAAACCAAACACGAGCTTCCAACGAGAATCAGAAATGGGACCAAGTGAAGCCAGCTCATCCAAGAATTCTGAATTAAGTCCTAAAGAATTTGTTGTATCTGAAATAAGTGAAGCTGATGTTGGAAAAGTAGATCATAAAGTTGTAAAACAAGATGATAAGGCAACAACCACTGGAAAGCCAGATCATGTAGTTGAGTTGCCTCAAGAGACAGGTCTGGTTACAGGTGATGTTAAAGGCAAGAAAGAGAACCCCACAAGTGAGGCTCAAGTTCAAGTTCAAGCGACTCCGAAAGAGAATGAGTATAGCTAGTATATTGGGAGAGAGAGATAGAGGAATCCTTTGGGTATTTTCTTTGAAACTTCTTTTTATTTGTTAGTAAATGAATGATTAGATGTTCAAGTTGGTGTTTAGGTTAGGATTATTCTTTTTTCTTTTTTGATTGTGCATTGGTGATGAACTGCTTCTCCTTCAAGAATAAGTTTCTAATTGATTTCTTGAAGTATTTTTCTTAGCAGTTCTGGAGATTATATATAATAGTGGAGAAAAAGGGGTTATTCCTTGTTACAGATAAACAATGCCTTTTTTGGCATGTAAAAGTTATTGTTAAGTGTTTCTGTGGAAAATAATAGTGAGATCAAGTTCCTTTGTTTCTTCTTTTGTTCTACCCTCCCCTCTTCCCCTCTTCTTTTCCTCTCTTTTTAAGCTTTCTTGTTTTAGGTATGAATGCATGTTAAATTTACAGTCATAGCCATTGGCATTGCCTCCACAAGAAGCACATATAGTGCCCTTGACTGTGATAGTCACCAAATAGTTATTGGCACCAAAATAGCCATCACCATTGCTTCCACTTACTATAACTATTGCCCCNGCATCTGCATTCGCATAGGGTCCCTGGAAGGGCCGCACCTCAAAGGGTGTGATGTAGGCAGCATATTCCGATGCAAGCATCGGTGGTTGATTCCATGGCACAAACTCGTAACCTATAGGTCACACAGAGACAACTTTATCGTTGCTTCAAGCTCCCTTTCGCCCCCACCATAGTTACTTGGCCAAAAATATACCCTCTTGCCCTGACACTTAGGACCCGTTAGGCCATAGATTTTGCTAAAATAAATTTCAGTTTTATTTGGCAAACACATGTTTGGCCATAAATTTTGCCTACATTTTGGCAAAATCTCAAATCCTGAGCTGGTTTTGGGCCAAAATATCACTATTACATTTTTTAAAAATTGCCCCATACCTTTGTATTTTATAAAAGAGCTCACCATTTATTATTTTGTAACAATGTTGTTTCGTCTTCTCGGTCACCTGATAGTGTATCGTGTAGTTCATTATAAAAATAATAATTTTGTATTAAATTTATTTATGTTCAGGACTATGGTTTGCGATAATATAATGAATGTTATTGATAATGGTATTGTTGGGCATTTGTGATAGTTTTTAAAACTTGTAGGTATAAGTCATGTTTCATGTTTTTTCAAAATAAATTTAAGAAATATGTTTTGAAAACTGATGTCCAAACAAATTTTTATTTTCAAACCAAACTTCACCCAAATCAGATTTTTGAGAACAAATTTAAAAATTTATGGCCAAACGCTAGCTCAATAATTTGCATCAAGGCTAGCTCTAATCTCTAGATAGAAATAGCTGTCATATGCTGAACCAGCAAACACACACACACATGCATCCAGGTCGCACGCATGCACACAACTATCTATAACATATTTAAATGCATTTATCTCTAAATCTGTGTTCTCTGAATTTGTAGCATTACTGTTTGTTCAATAATATATCATTATACTCAACACAAAGCAAACACGCACATGCATGCCCCTGCCCTGATTCATACAAAGCTAAGGTAGTGGACGACATACATGCACCCGTTTAACCATAAATTTAGATTTTATTTGACAAATATATGTTTGGCCATAGATTTTGCCTATATTTTGGTCAAATCCTAAATGTCAAATCCCAAATCCCAAAACCAGCTGGTTTTGGGCCAAAATATCACTATTATATTTTTTAAAATTGTCCCAAACTTTTGTATTTTATAAAAGAGCCCACCATTTATTATTTTGTAACGATGTTGCTTTGTCTTCTCGGTCATTTGATAGTGTATCATGTAGTTCATTATAAAAATGATAATTTTGTATCAAATTTATTTATATTCAGTACTATAGTTTGCGATAATATAATTAATATTATTGATAATTGTATTGTTGGGTATTTGTGATAGTTTTTAGAACTTGTGGGTATAAGTCATGTTTTTTCAAACCAAACTTCACCCAAAACAGATGTCCAAACACATTTTCATCTTCAGAATAAATTTGGGAATCTATGACCAAACGCTAGCTAAGTTATAAGTTGGGATTAATCATAAGAAATACCACTATCTTAGAAGAGGCGGATTCACGATTCCGAAAGGATTATGCACTATTACAAAGACGTAAATCTAGAATTTATCTTTGACGCGTTCAACCTTTAAGTTCTTATCATGAATCTATTACTATTTAGAAATTATAGGTTAAAATCAAAAAAAAATTCTTATAATTTGAGTAGTTTTTAATATATATATATATATATA